ATGTGGAAAAGCTCTCCCTGAGTCCCTTTACCTTGTCAGATGTTATTTCAGAACAGAGAATTCGAGTTTAGAAGAATAAGCCAATGAGTTGTTCGCATTGGTGTTTTCCTACAGGAAAACCAAATAATTAGGCCAACACAAAGCAGGCCTGTTTTGTTGTGCTGCAGAAGTAGACCCAGATTGTTTGTGTAACAGCCACTGTGATGAACCTTTACTGTTCTATAACAGCACAGCTTCGGTACAGATGTGTGTGTAGTAAAACTAAGAATCCAACCCACATTCCTTTGCACTAGGCTAAGACCCTGGGCCAGAGCAATCAGTGGGGGACTCATCTCTCCATCAGTGTGCGTGGGACCATGGGCTATACCTGCACAGGAAAGGTATCATGTTTTAAGCAATGGGTAAAAACAAAGCGGCAACAACAAAAACCTAAGAGTGGTTCCCTGAATGGTAGTGTCTAGAAGGCCATGTGTGGCATGGTACTAGACTAGACAGGCCTGTCAGAACAACGTGTCAGGCTGTAAGTATAATGTTAGGTGAGCGTTTATTCAGTCTTCTAATCCATTTATTGAGCAATTATTGAGTGCCCGTAGTAGTCAAGGAAACAAAGCAATATCCCCTATCCTTGGTAAGGATATATATTCTATAGGGCAAGATTGATATTTGATGCTTTAAGTAAACAAGTTATCTATATAATAATGCTGTGTTGGAGGGCAGTAGAGAAGTACAGAGGAGATAAAATCATCAGAAAAGGGTTCTCTGCAAACCTCCTTCTGGAGCTCAGACAAGAGCAGATCTGCTAGTCAGCCTCAAGGACAGAAGAGCAAAGGGAACCGTGTGCACCGAGCCCAAATTACAAAAGGCTTGGCATATGTGAGTAACAAAAGGGAGGCCAGAACAAGGAAGACGGTGATAATAGTGTTGGAACAGGGCCAGATCACGCAGAATCTGCCGCCGTAGCTTCTCATGTGGCATCCTGATGGAGCCTGCTGGCTGAAATGTCAGTGGCCTACCTGGCGTCAGCTCTGTGAGAGCAAGAGAACAGCAAGTGCTTTAGAGGTCAGAGCACTCACTAGATGTTCTAGACGGCTCCGCTGAGGAACAGAGAAAAAGGCAGCCAGATGCCCAGGCTTCCGGCTCAAGTACCTGAGTGGATTGTAGTGCCAGTTTCTCAGATACAAAGGTCGGAGGGCTTCACTCAGTCTAGACTTTGAAGTCCAAATTGTGCAAACTCACTTTTCTAGGTGTTTGTCGATGTTTTTGTTGTTGTTCTTTGAGACAGGGCTTCCGGTAGCCCAGGTTACCGTTATACTCACTATCTAGGTCTTCGGTTACCCTTGAACTCCCGATCATCTCTCCTTGCCTCCAGAGTACTAAAATTACAGGTATACTCTTGTTCAGATTTTTTTTTTTAATCTATAAGGCGAGGTTATTATGTTAAGTTTCCAAGATCTTGCCCCAATTAATTAACAACTTCATGAAAATGAGATCATTAGTGTGAAAGCATACTGAGGTTCAAAATTAAGGAATAATGTATTCTGATGAATATCACTAAAATGGAATAAATTAATTTATCTCAAAGCTATTAACCAAAATACTAAAGTTATTTTTCTCCGGCATGCTGAAGAAAGTGAGAATGCAATTTCTCCTGGGAGGTGTTTTTCTGGAGATTCTTGGCAAGAGAGTAGTTTGTGCTGTTGAGTAACATTAAACTATGAACAGTTTTGTAACCTTGGCTAAGACTGCAGAGCCCAAACAATGCACTGTTTGTGCCCTGGTGCTGGCTTCTTTCTGATCATTCTGCGTTAGTTCTGCACAGATTATTTCTCCAAACCCATACAGTCCCTATGTAGGAAGTAGGCATGTTTGTTTTGTTGTTCTGTAGAGAGGACCCTGAACATGTTCATGTATATGTGTGTGTGTGTGTGTATACATACATACATACATACATACATACATACATACACACACACACACCTGGGACCCTGTGTCTGCCATCTGCATACCACCATTTGGCCAAGCCTAAGATTCTCTTGCTGATGTAGGCAGTATGATACTAAACCCTGCACCCTGAGATAGATGTGAAACCTGACTCAAAAGACTCCAACAGAAAAGAAGTTTATTCTCCCACAAAACAGAAACACCCTGTGGCTCTGCTGTGCCCATGGTATTGGACAGTTGGGATGGAGCCCGATTATTCGAGAAATGCCACTGCTAGTTCACATGCTGGCAGAAGTGACAGGGACCATGTGCTTTCCAGTCCCTACTCTTCAGTGCTGAGATTGTCCCCTCCATCACAAGCTAGCTGTCCCTGTTCAGTGAAACTCACTAGACAATACTGAGCCAAGAAATGGTTCTTTTCTGCCCTGCATCTGTCTGTGAGAGCAAAAGCCTTTCCCAGGAACTCACAGTAGACATCCCTAACTTCCAGGGAGCACCCAGTTTTCTGCCCAGAGATAGGGACATTATTCTAAACCACCACCTCCTTCCTTCCTGATGGGCCTACTCAATCTGGTTTAAAAGCCATGTGCCATCCTCTGTCCCTATGGTTACTGTATTAATTCTGATCCTCATTAGCTCAATCTGTCCTCATTGTGAAACTGATGTCGAAAACCCTGCAGTGATTCTTAATCATAGCTAGGATAAAAAAGCTCAGGTTATTTTGTAGCTGCAGCGCTGACTCTTTCTCTTCCTTACCTGACAGCTAATAAACTAACAGACAGATGAACTGACTGCAAAGGGGTTGGGAAAAGGCTCAGACCCCAGCCAGGACTTCTTCCTTCCCAATTTGTGTTCCCCTGATCTCCTTCAGCTGCCTTATTGTCCTAGTTCAGACTTCAAGCACTACTGAAATGGAATGCAGGGAATAGACAGCTTTGTCTTGTTCCTGATTTAAGTGGAACTGTTTTGAGTTTCTCTCCATTTTTATACTAGCTACAAGTTTGCTGTAAACTGCCTTAATTATGTTGAGGTATGTCCCTAAACAAAATCACCAAAAATGTAGGGTGGGGGAGACAGAGCCTCAGCTGGATATCTCTTATCACCAAATGAAGAAACTTCCAGTACTGAGAATGGGTTACATCTAATTGAATTGTTGGCCAAAAGCGTCTCATGGGAATCCCCAAGCAACCCAGGGTTTTGTCACGGCTATAGGCTGCTCTCTACAAACTGAGGGCAAGGCACCTATAGCTGAAGGCAACACCTACACAACCTACTGAACACAGAGAGGTCTAGCTGGTGCCTACCTAGAGCCTTTACCTCACGGGGTAGTGCTCTTGGTACCAGAAGATGGTACACTTGCTACCAACAGAGAAAGGTAAAAGCCAAGCCATCTAGAAACCCTTTGATCTACAATGACATCCCACCTGCAAGATATGCTAGTGTAGTGGTGGCACAGAGCATGTAGGGGTGACCAGTTAATATCAGATTTGACTTAAGGCTTGCTCCATGACATGAAACCTCTCCCCAACACTGCTTGGGTACCAAGAACCCGAGTCTAGATCTCCCAGGGACTAGGGTAAAACCAAACACTCCTGTTCTACTAAGAGTACATAGCAGTAAATTGAGTCCCAGTGACCTTCTGCTATATTCATAGATCAGTGCCTTTCCCGGCCACCGGCAGAGAAGCTCCTGCAGCGGATGGGAACGAGTACAGAAATCCACAGCCAGACAATATGCAGAGAGTGAGAGACCTTGGAATGCTCAGCTCTAAAGATAATGTCTCCATCCACTCCCTCCCCTTGGGGCCCAGGGAACCCGGAGGGAGAGGAGACAGAAGCGTGTCAGAGCCAGAGCGGATGGAGGGCACCAGGAGAGCAAGGTCCTCCGACTCAGCGTGATCGATGCACATGTGAACTCACGGGCTGAGGCAGTGTGCACCTGTTCGCGCCATCTCCACTCACCCACAATCATTTCCCCTGATTTAGAAAGAATAGAGTTTCAAGCAGATTTGTAATTGAGTATGCTAATTATTGTAGCTGACCCGCTCAATCAAACTATATTTATTCTGTTTACAAGCAGGGGTCCTCTTTTTTGTTGTTGTGTTCTATGAAGAGTAAAAAGTCATTTAGATGCAGTTTATATTCTTCTTATGGAGTGTGACTTTCTTAATGAGGAAGGGACCTTTAGGGAAGGACTGTGAGTACTTTTGAACAAGTAAAGGAGCAGTCAGAGGCAAGAGAAGAAAGAGTTGTGAGTTGTGTGTTTCAGCTGACAGGTAACCATTGACAGTCGCCGGCGGGGGCAAGAGGAAGGCAAAAGGCCGTTACATTCTCTTGCTTTATTCATATTCACTTCAGAAGGAAATAAGGAAAGCTTGTCTTTGTGTGTCGCCTGTGGGCTTCAGGCCAGCACATGACTGGACCACCTCGATCCCACTTCCGTCTTCCTTGTAAATGTCTCTGCTTCTGCTGTTGTAGTCTGTCCCTACACACCTGGAGTGGGCTGCCCTTTTCCTAGTCCCTGGTCTCTGCTCTCAGACTTTCTATATTTGGGCTCAACCTTTCCTGACAGTACTGGTTTTGTCACAGTGCCACAGGGATATGGTCGTTGGCATCTGCCTCTTCCTCAGGAGCCAGCCCCGCCCCCACCTATATGCATTCACGCTTGCCCCTGAGACTAGAACGTCTCAGAGACTCACTCGGTACTAACGAGAGGATGAAAACATGTACCAGCTGTCTAGGGCTTCGAGCTGATTCTGATTCTCCCCTAATCCTGTTGAATGTGGTGTTTTAAATTGAGAGTAGCAGAAACAAAGTGATTTAGGAAAATGATACTGTTCCTCCAGCCTGTTTCAGTGACAGCGTAACACAGTTAAGAAAATGGCCTGTCAGATTTGATCAGTGATGTCGAAGGGAATCGTGATTATTCTCAGAGTAGCTGGAGCAAAGCTCCTCTGGCAGGAGAGGCTGGCTCTAAGGCCGGGGTCTCTTGGCCTGGAGAAGCAGGGGACCATCCATGCCCCGCCCCCGCCTACATGGCCTCTTTCTTCTGTCTTGCAGGCACAACGTGTTTGATTGCTCTACTCTCAGATAAAGACCTCACCGTGGCCAACGTTGGTGACTCTCGAGGAGTCTTGTGTGACAAAGATGGCAATGCCATTCCTTTGTCTCACGATCACAAGCCTTATCAGCTGAAGGAAAGGAAGAGGATAAAGAGAGCTGGTGAGTTTGTGACCCCACCCCACCCCTTGGGGGGAGTCTACCGTCTTGTTTGGTGATCCAGGTGCTTGCTTGGAGAGTTTCTGGGGAAGCAATTCACCCAGCAGCACAGAGTCACTATGACATGGCCGTTTCCTACTCCATATTCCTTCACTGTTCATTCTTACTAATTAATGGTGACTTAATTTGCCACTCTTCGTGGCCAAAGATTCCAAAAGGGCCAAAGACAGTCCTTTTCCTTTTAAAGTTCAACTTGATCCTTGGGCCCCTGCTCCCTTGCAGAGATGACAGACTCTTAAAACTCCAGTGTGAACCCCAATGATATATTTGTGCCTGTGCAAATGTCTTTCTCACTGCCAAGCAGTTAAAAATATGTATCCCTTAAAATTCAACTTTGGAGCGTCCTGTTGGAAGCTTTTCCCACCCCACTGAGGCAAAGACTTCCACCGTCTGGGATGGCTGCCCTTTCTGCCTTTTTCCTCATCCTCAGTAAGTCTCACTAGGCTCCTTGTGAAACTGCATGTGCACCACTGGCTCTTACCGGTCTTGTCTTCTTGACTGTCAGCAACTGGGATGCAGCTGTGCTCAGCACTACAGAACCAACCTATGCAGACATGACAGTGAGCTCTTCAGAAGCAAGAACTTGATTTCGGTTATCTCTGTACCTCAGCACCCAGCTCAGTGACCATCCTTAAGTGGAGAGGGAAGAGACCATGTCTATTCAGCATGCCCTCCTCCCCTACACACACAGAGCCCTCATGAAATTTACATTCGTAAGTTAGTTGAGGTGAAGAGAGAGTAAATAGGCTCCAGCCAAAGGGGAATGAGTTCTGTAGTGCATCAGAAAGTAGTAACTACTGTCTAGATGCATAAAGCAGATGAAGAAATGGGGGTATCGGGAAGCTGTAACTTTATGTAGGGTGTAAAGTCGCTAAAGTGATAGTCATTCATCTTTTGAGATGAGGGTTCAAGTAGCCCAGGCTAGCCCCATTTTCCTGCCTCCACCTCCCAAGTCCTTCAGTTCCAGACATGGGTGTCACGCGCGCCCACCTCGCCAGCAAGGAAGACACGGCAACACACCAGGATCCTTCCGCAGCAAACGTTTATTCCAATGTAAAGAGGAAGACCCCGGCCCCCGAAAAGGCACTGTTTATATACCCTTGGAGCGGCGTGTTCATTTCTGATTGGCTGCTTACTCGTTACCTGGCAAAACGCTCCGGGATGGGCTGTGACTTGGCGCGCACTCACTTCCCGCACATGCGCAACAGCTTGTTTATCGGGATGGGCAGTGGATGTCAGCGCCATCTTGTAATGGCGAGTGCTGTCACCACAGCACATGCGCGGTTTACTTGTTTACTTGGAGGAGCACCGGATGCCAGCGCCATCTTGTAATGGCGAATGCTGTCAGCATAAGCTGCAGCTTTCCACATCTCCCCCTTTTTGTTTTAATTAAGAATCACAGGCACTGGCCAATGTCCCATGTCTTAGGCTAGTTGACGTTCTTCCATAGCCAGCACCAAAGAATGGTGAGCTCCCTGTCTTAGGCTACGAGGGTCACGCACCCACACCTGGCATTCTCAGAATGTGCGCCCCAGGTTGTGGCCACTCGCAATGCCCGTCATGGGGTAAACTCACAGCTCATGGTGTACCTCTGGCATATGGCATCAACCTATTCCCGTCATTGGGACCAATGGCAGCTGGCCTGGAGACGAAAAGATGGAGCTGTCCTTGACCTGTCTAGCGTGGTACCAATCATGACTCAAACTCAAGCCCGATCAAGCAAATTCCATCTTGGGGGAATAAGCGATCAAGGACTGAGAGTTTAAGACAGTCTCCCTTACTCTACCAAGTGCAATGGAAACAAGTCCTCTGGGTGCAAGGGCTAGGGGAAACAGAGAGAGATGCAAACACCCATCCCTGTGCAATGGAGCCATCTCCCAGGGGTGCAAGGGCTGTTTGCCTCAAATTCAGGTACCACAGCTACACAGACAAGGACTAGCCAGGCCAAGACTCCTCACCGACCCAGTGCAATGGGCAAATCCCTTGGGGTGCAACAGCTGAGGAATCTGTCTACTGGCTATTTCTTTAACATGGATAACCAAATTTCAGAAGATGAACCTTGTTCTAGGGCTGTAAGTGCTTGGGTAATAACGACCTTGTCACGTTTTTGTTGAGCTCTGAGTTTGCAGACCAACATAGCATGAACACTAATCCGCAACATAGGGCTGTACCAAACAGGCCTACTCCCACCCACTCTTTAAAGAAAGAGAAAGCTGAAGAGATCCAGGAGGAGAGTCCCTCAGTCAGGGACAGATCCACGTGCTTCGAGTTGATGGCCACCACAGCTGCTCTCAATTTTTTGAGTGTCTCATCGAAGTTTTCTGACCAATTTCCTGCAAGATATTAAGACAATTTCCTGGACAGATTAGCTGCATTATGTCTGACCGGTATGGGTTTTTGAAAGGCAGATAATATGGCCCACTGTTGTTCCCCCGATATACTAGGAACCTGTATCCCTTGGATCAGCACGAGGGCTGTCATCAGAGTTTGGAGGGTCCGCCTGGGTGTCATCTTCTAATATCCTGAGTCGTCTGGTCAGTCGCTCTGGTAGCCAAAATGGGTTGTCTTCTTCCTGAGGAAAAACACAAACCGCTCCCCTGGATCTTATTAAAATAGGATCCGGGCCTTTCCATTGTCCGGTCAAGACATCCTTCCATTTGACCATCTCTTTTGGCCTGTCAGGCTCTAAACAGTGACGGTCAGCTGCCATGTGGCCTTGACTGTCCAGATTTTAAAAATTAAGGGTAAAAAGTGCTATAGAAATGGTGACTCGTGGCACTGAGGGTAGAGCCTCCTCGACTCCCCCTTTTTGTTTTGTTAGATAAGACTTAAGAGTGCGATGAGCCCGTTCTATAATGCCTTGTCCTTGAGGGTTATAAGGGAGATCCGTCAGATGGGTCACCTCCATTTGGCGACAAAATTGTCCAGACTTTTGAGAAGTGTAAGCTGGTTAAATTAAACTGTGTTTGTATAAATATAACTGTAAAATTTGAGAATTAGCAATGTCTAAAAAGGCAACAATTTTAAGTAGTTACAAACCATGAGCCATATACTGGCTATGAGAGTACCAATTGAAAGCTTGATTTTTCTTCATTTCAAACAGTGGTTACAGCACATAATTTAATTATTTGTGCTGAAGCAGGGGAAAATTCAAGAAAATGAAAATATACACTGAGAGATTTAAATGTTTAACTTTTGTATTAAAGCGACAACAAATTTTTAATGCCATTAATAATTCTGAGACAAACCTTTTTTAATGATATCGCTTCATCGGCTCTCAAAAATCACTAGTAAATTCACTGAATTTAAACCTCACCACCTTTACCAGGATGTAAAGGAACAATAAAAACAATCTTTTAAATCTATAATAATTCTATATGTATTTACTAGAATGGCAACTGAAGTAGGCAAGACAGGCTGTAATGCCCCATTAGTTTCATAAATCTTAAATTTGAACTTTGCTTTTGGATTAATTGAATAACCAACTCCTTTTAGCTGAGGGAAGGTATCAGATAAAAGCCAAGCTGAAGGCAATCTTGTCCTCTAATAATTGTTAAATAGCCCCAGTATCTATTAATCTTTCAAAACCCTTTTTCCTTCAATTATTAACTTAAGATTAGGTCTCTTGTTACTGATAAGACCTAATACACATCAGAGGAACCAAAGCCATCTTGTCTTCTATCACTCTCAACAATTTTGGAAGACAGGACCCAAATCAAGTTGAGGAATTCCTTTGCCGGCAGTAGTTACAATGCCATGGAGGGAAGCAAGCATAATTTTAGTTCCTCCAACATAATAACAACTCCTGGCCCATAAGCTGTTGTGAATTTTGGGCCTGAGGCTGACACCTCCCCCACAAGGAACAAGCAAGGCAATCAACAAATTCCCGAAAACACCTTTCTAGGGGCTGGCCATGAAGACCAAAACAAGACAAAAGGAATGTCTCACCCAAGCTTCTGTGCGAGCCCAGTCTGCATTGTCTTAATTTAAATGTAAATGTTCTTAATCTCTTCGGAGGCCTAGTGCAAAGATTATCCTTCTAGCAGGCCAGCACTGTATCACAACTTGTTTTAAATATTTTTATTTAACTCTACCTGCTGTCTCCTTTTCTATAAACATGGGCGAATCAAAAAATCCCAAACTCAAGATTAGAACTGCCAAATGTAGCCAATGGAATACTGGCAGTTTAACTAAATTTTTTAATTTCTTTTGTAACATTAGAGTATAACCACAATTTTGAGAAGCAAAACCAAAATCAAAAGCAATTTAAACAATCTAGTTTCTCTAAAAGTTTTGCTGCCAATTCTTATATATGAATGAACGAAGCAGCTTTTAATATCTCATTGAAGAGATACTGTTTTAAAATCTTATTTTTTATACATCTGGTTTCTGAATGACTATAACTCTGAGTTAGTTTTACGTCAACTTTCTGTTACCAAAGTTGTGAATTTCTCATCACACCCAATAATTTAAGCCAATAATCTATAACCAAGACATGTAGAACATTTTTATACTTTTAAAACCAATCAGAAACAACAATGAAGTGGCTATGCATCTTATATATTTAAACCAAACAAAATTTGTTGCCTTTTCTAGCTGTAATTTCAAGAGAAAAGCACCTTGTCACGGAGATTTTTTTCTAGGACAAAACAACTCTTAGCTTCCTTATAAAACCCAAAAAGCTACTGGTCTCTTTTAAAAGCAGCTTATGCCAACCTCAATTCCTGGAAAGGCTTTTTCAGCTCAGCTCAACTCTTAGCTACAGGTGTAGGGTAGCTTATCAGCCTCTGCTGTGTATATTAAGACTGCCTTTAAAACAAAGTTAAACTAGCCCAAGAGTTGGATATGTAACTGTTTTTGTCTTTTGAACATGTAACATAGAACATACACTTAGACAACGAAACAAAAAACAAACAATCGACACACGTGGACATTGGCGCGCCAAGGACAGACAACAAAGAAGGACATCTAAGAGCTAAATAAAGAGAAATTCAGGACGTCTCCCGAATTTCTTTCTTTTTCTAGATGAGCTCTGAAATAGCCTTTTCATTCCTTTTTGCTGACACAGCTCAGAGAGAGGACAACTGTTTTTCTAAAACCCTTTCTCTCTCTCTCATATTCAAGATGTAACTTTTCATCTCGTTCATTGGAGATGTAGCAGGCAGCTATTGTAACACCTCAGTACCCTGCCTTCTTAGTTTTCCAATTCCTTCTAACCCTGCTCTTCCCACCTGAAGCAGCTCTTAGACTGTGGGCAATGCCTGTTTAGAATTCTCCTGACCTATGTTTCGCTGTCACCTCCTAGGCAAAATCGGCACTGGGTCAATACCTCATTCACCTAGACTGCATCCCTCGAAACACACTTCCTGCAAACACAGCCTTCAAATAACCATCACTAGCGCTAGTATTCGATTTCGCGGCGGCGGCCACTCACCTGGCTGGTATCTTTCCTCCTCATAGCGGTCTGTCTCTTCATCTAAGTCCTCCCATTCAGAGGAAGTTAGCTCCTCCGACTCAGAGCCACCAAGCCCCGAGGCCTCCGGCTCCTTTACCGGATAAAGAGATTTTCTTTTGGAGGCTTCTCTTTCCTTCGTGTTCATCTCTCCCAAGGGTGTACTTTCCTTATCTCTCGCTTCCACGGACTGAGCGTCTTGGGAAGGGTATGTTTCCTTAGGCATGCCTTCTGAACTCCCCTTTTTTTCTGAGCTCCTAAGCGCTTCTCTCGCTCTGTTTTCTGACATGCTGCCCTGTAATTCGTCTAGCACTCCCTGGCCCGCCGCTACAGTCGAGCGGCTTTTCTCATCCTGCAAAACCAGAAGGAAGAGAACGAGTGCTGCCTGGGGAGGGAGACGAAATAGATCAAGGCCAAACATGCCTCTCAGAGCTTACCTTTGTCCTGCGGTTCTGAATCCACTCCGTGAGCGGAGGGTCTCCTTGGCACCAGCGATGGTGAATTTCCCGGGTTTCGGCACCAGCTGTGACCCGTGCAGTCGTCTCGCCAGCAAGAAGCACGCGGACACCAGGATCCTTCCGCAGCAAATGTTTATTCCAATGTAAAGAGGAAGACGCCGGCCCCCGAAAAGGCACTGTTTATATACCCTTGGAGCGGCGTGTTCATTTCTGATTGGCTGCTTACTCGTTACCTGGCAAAACGCTCCGGGATGGGCTGTGACTTGGCGCGCACTCACTTCCCGCACATGCGCAACAGCTTGTTTATCGGGATGGGCAGCGGATGTCAGCGCCATCTTGTAATGGCGAATGCTGTCACCACAGCACATGCGCGGTTTACTTGTTTACTTGGAGGAGCACCGGATGCCAGCGCCATCTTGTAATGGCGAATGCTGTCAGCACAAGCCGCGGCTTTCCACACATGGGTCAATAAAAAGTGATACTGAGACCAAGACTCTGAGGAGGATTATTAGATCTGAGAGGTTCCTACATATGGAAGGCAGGAGTCCCTTCACACTCTAAACTGATGGCCCAGCAATGTACCAGGCAGTTAAGCAGCCTAGATCCCTGGTGTGTGTGGAAACCTGCAGAATGACTCTTGGTCATTGGAGGTTAGCTTCTGCGGAGTGAGAAAATGAAGCGAGCCTGATGAAGATTTGAGCCTTCCCAGCAGAGAGCTGAGTCACTGAGGATGAACGTGCTGAGTTCTTTTATAGCCCTCACTTCAGGTCCTGCTTGTGATGCAGGATGAATGTTTTGAAGGAAACATTTGAGTGGAAGTTTTCCTTGAGTTTTCTGTTGACGAAATAAAACAGTGTTTGCAGAGCATCCGTCAAGCTTCAGTGAGCTCCAGAAAAGATGATTAAGACGCTTGGACATTTATTTATGTAGGCACCATCTCACCATGAGGGCTCCCCCTGAGTGAACTGAAGATCCCGATGGCCAAGTTTCACAGGACACAGATGCCCCTGGAAGCTCCATCAGTGTCCAGCATGTGTCCTTGAGATTTCACAATGGTGGTGTCCTCTGTCCCCTCCCTGTCATACCTAACACATGGTGTCCTCTGTCCTCTCCCTGTCTTACCTAACATGCTGCCACTCTATAGCACTTTCTTATAGAAGAAAATTTGAACACTGTCTCCAAGATTAATCTGACCTACTCTGTTTTCTTCATAAAGTAGGCAAGGGTGTATTTTTAAAATATTTTTACTCTGAGAATTTCATACAATGTATTTTGATCATATTCACTCTCCTCCCCTAAATTTGCCCAGCTCCACTCCCAAACCTATGGTTGTTAGGGTTCCTTATAGGGTCATAACTGATACATACATACGTGTGTGTGTGTGTGTGTGTGTGTGTGTGTGTGTGTGTAATATATTATGTATAATATATATTATTGCTTATATTATTAAATAATCATAAATATATGAGATTTATTTGACTGTCTCAAAGGCTGTGGTCCAGCTAGTCCAACCATGGCTCTCTCAGAATGAAAAAGGCAAAGAATCCATCAGTTGAATAGTCCACAAGGCAGGATGTGTCAGCTGGTCTTTAGTCTACATTGGATCCCAAAGAAATAGGTTCTAATACCAGCAAAGTAATGCCTCAGTAGCAGGATAGATGAATTTGTCAGCAAGAGTGAAGCCAAGGAGGCAAAAGAGCAAAATCTTCCCTCTTCTGGGTCCTTTTATCCATGTGGGCTGCACCAGAGGGTAGAGCCTAGATTCAGGATGAATCTTTCCACCTCAGACAATCCAGTCAAGAAAATTCCTCATGAACATGCACAAGCTGTTTGGGGATATGTCCTGGATAGAGTCAAGTTGAGAACCAAGAATAGCCATCACATCGCTACTCCTCGTAGCTTTTCTCCTACTCATCAAGTCCAATTTGTGCTGCCCGTGTGAGATCATCCACTGGGAACAGTCTCACTACCAAGGGCTACACCCTTAAAAAAATGGACTCACTCTCTTCCAGAAGCTATCAGTTGCCAATGGCTTCTCCGCTAGGTGGACCTTCATGCCTGCCTCTCACCTCCATACTTATGTTGTCTGACTTGGGTTTTCACAGGTACTGTGTGTGCATACTGTCACAATGGCCTGAGTTCATGTGTGCAGCTACCCTGCTGTTTCCCTGTGGTCCTCTACTGCCTCTGACTCTTACACTCTTGCTACCCCCTCTGCTTCCATGATCTCTGAACCTCAGGCAGAGAGGGACGATATAGATGTTCCATTTTGGGCTAAACATTCTGCTGTCTCATGCCCTGTGTACCTAGACCAGCTGTGAATCTGTCTTAATCACCCTAAATGGCTTAAGGAATAACGATGAGTTTTGTCATCTTTATTCGTGTTTATTATGACCATAGACTTCAAGACACCTCTCTTCCTCCTACCTAGCATGACAGGAAGTTCCAGTTATATATAGTGACCTTTCTGTTTCTGCTTTTCACTACCAGCATCAGCGTTAGCTTCCATTCACCATGTGTAGGAGCCAAGCCTGACACACATCATCTATGTTTATACATTCTGTGAAGACTTTAATGTTAAAATCACTCTCTAGCCAGTAAACTGGCACTACCGAGAGACTTGTGTCCACAGACATCCAGCCACTAAGTGACAAGCCAGAATTGAAACCGTGATGGACTACACAGCCCAGTCCTTGACCACTATACCACACTTGTAGGAATTGCCGTATGTTCTGTCCGCCGTTCCTCTAAAGCTAACTGTGCTATGACGCTCACTCCCACACCATCCCTCCGCCTTCCCTCTCTTCAGTAGTTAGCAGACACTAACCTGTTGCAGAAGAGTACTGCTGGATGCCTGTGATTTTCATTAAGTATGGCTTCTCTCTCTCCTCCAGGTTGTCAGGGAAAGATCTAGATCTTACATAACTTTCATAGCCAGAAAAATCTCTTTCTACAGAGCAGATCTTCAGTAGGTATCAAACAAATATGTGAATGAACAAAAGTCTGGCTCCTTTAAGGAGAGCCTACTGGAAGCCAGGGGTGGTGGTGCATGCCTTTAACCCTAATGCTCAGGAGGTGGAGACAGGGCATTCAGAAATTCAAGGCCACCCTCGTCCATAGAGTAAGTTCAAGACTGCCTTAGACCATAAGAGGCTTTCTCTCAAAGACAAAAAGGAAGAGAGGGAGAGGAAAGAATGGGTAACGCTGAGTGGATGTGGACTCCGGCACTGTGCTGGGGATGTGCATGGACTAATGTCTTACATTCTCACAATATAATGGAATAGATGTTATACTCGTTTGGCAGCTAGGAAGATGAAGCATCCAAAGGAGGGAATGTTTCTCATCCATGGTCACTAACTATGCCTAAAATGTGGTTTTCCTTGATTCCAGTTCCTTTTGAGATCCACATCAGTACACCCAAGAGTGACCTCAGTAAGGGACTATTTCAGAGATGTCTCCCTGCCTGTCCACCTGCTATTCAGCATTTTCTTGCCACTGTCCTCAAACACCCATACTGAAGCTACATGTTGTTATCGCTGAGCTGCCACAGGGTGTTATTAACGCTCTGTCCGCACCCGTACTCTACCCTTAATATTCTCGAAAGCGTTATCAGTGCCAAGGATGAGAGCGTGATGTTCCACTCCAGGCCCTGCAGCAAGATGCTGCCGTCCTTGGCAGTGACGACGGTGAAGGCAGAGTACGTGTGGCTCAGCTCTCACGTAGCAGACCAGCTTGTGTCACACCCAGACTGTAACAAGAGTGAGCAACTATCAGGCGGGCAAGCTAACAGGCTCCCTCTGTCTTTCCAGGTGGGTTCATCAGCTTTAACGGCTCCTGGAGGGTCCAGGGAATCCTAGCCATGTCTCGATCCCTGGGAGATTATCCACTGAAAAATCTCAACGTGGTCATCCCAGACCCAGACATCTTGACCTTTGACCTGGACAAGCTGCAGCCCGAGTTCATGATCTTGGCATCAGATGGCCTGTGGGATGCGTTCAGCAATGAGGAAGCAGTTCGATTCATCAAGGAGCGCTTGGATGAGCCGCACTTTGGGGCCAAAAGCATTGTCCTGCAGTCCTTTTACAGAGGCTGCCCTGACAACATTACTGTCATGGTGGTGAAGTTCAGGAATAGCAGCAAAACAGAAGAGCAGTGAGCCCTGCAGGATCTCAGATGCCCTAAACTAGACGACTCTCAACATACTGTTCTCCTCATGTAGTAAAGTCGTGGGAATTATAATTAGGATCATGCGTCCCAACACAGAACCCCCTTTCCCGATGGCCTTGAGTCCCTTTGGAGTGCTGAGCAGAGGGTTCCCCGGCTGACATTGCAGAGAGGCTGCTAAGTTTATGTTCCCCCAGCCCTTCTATCAGTGTTTGAAATGCATACGTAGGTAGCCACAGATCCCACGTATGAGGCAAAAGAAAGACAGGCCGTGTATTTCCCTTCTTAATGTACTTTTCATGATCTCTTTCGTGGTCCCTCAGGGATCTGACTTGGTGTCCTCTCTGGACCTGGGCAGGGCGAGCCGGTGCTGCCAACACATCACCATGACGACGTGGTGGCTGTGCCCTCTGCTTCGAAGCAGTTTCCTCAGAAATGCTCTCCCCTTCTGAGCTTTGGCCTTCGGTACTCCAGCAGCCTGGAAGGAGACAGGCAGCACTTTGTGATTTGTTGCCTGCTCCTAGAGGCTGAGGATGGAAAGTCAGTGCAGCTTCTCGCACGCCTGCCACCTTCCCCTTGCTTCCTTCATCATTAGTTCAATAGAGTCAGGACGCAGTTAACCAGCCCTATGCCTCTCCTCATGGAGTGTACACTCACCATATGCTCACAGCCTTACAGTGCATTAAAGGCAGCTTCTGACTTCCCCATGAGACATGAGTTTTTGCCTCCCCTTACCAAGAACCCACAGAAAGGGGCAGAAGCAGGGTGGAAAGCACATCACAGTACAGTACGCCCTTCCATCTTCAAGGAGGAATCAGGCTGGGGTGATTCTCAGTGCCCCTCTGAGAATCGCCATCTGCATTGGAGAGGAAGGCAGGAGTCCTGAGGTCACCAGCTCACACTCACCAGCTGCCGGGTTCTGCATAGCCCTTCCCAAGCCCATGCTGCCTAGTAACTTACATGTCTTTCAGACAGTGTTGGGAAGAACAGCAGCCTAGAATCACCCATGGGCGCTATTCCCAGCTACCACTGCAAGTTGGTATTTGGAGGCAAACTACTGGGACATGCTTCCTGGCAAGAGAAAGAGCGTTCATGTTCTCTTACAAATATCTGCCCATACCCAGGCAAATATGAACTGTTTGCTGTGACCTGGAGAGAAAACAGACTGGCTCCTGGGGCCCTGTGTGCACTGGTGGCAGAGTTGGGCGGGAATTCAAGCAAGAACCCTCAGATCAGCAGCAGAGTTATTTGGGGGACCTACATTACTGCTCTTCCCTTTCTAACACCAAAGTTGTGGGTTTTTTTTTCCCCAGTCTCTGTCCTTTGTAAGTTAATTTATAGGACATAGTAGGTTGTCCTTTTTGACTGATTAAACCAGCCCCAAAGAGCCAAGATTTTCATTTGCAGAGTACACCAGAGCCTGCCTTGTTTTGTCCTCTCAGAGAGGGCATTTGTTGGCATGGTTTCTCAAGCCCTGCTCATTAGGCATCCCTACCCCACTGCCCAGCCCTCTGTCCTTCAGCTGCAGAGCTTGCCCGAAGCCCAGCCTGGAGAATGAAAGATGTGGACTCGGAGGACTGCAGACTGTCTTGATTCCTCCAGGAACTTGCTTTCCTTTGACTGCATCAAGAATTAATAATGGCTTCCCAGGAAATTCACTTACTTTTGTATCTTGTGTTTTCAACATTGGAATTAGAGTCTTTTCTGCTTCTCCGAATGTTTTAGTACACAATTACATTCTATCATGTTAGACTGAAACATTGGCTTGTGGAGAGACATGGGCTGATGGATGTGTATTATGGGTCAAGTGGAAGGGGAACGGAGGAAACGGCTGCGGGTTTAACCAGTGATGGCATGAGCTTGTTGGCTTAGGATGTTCTTATCCTAGAACGCCCGAAGCCCTTCCTTTAACTAAAGGTCCAGACTCGACAGCCTATAAAATCAACTTCTCTTCTTTTGTATTTGTTTAACACAAAAGTTTATAACAAGAGGAAAAAAAATCGAGACACAAATATCTGGGTGAAGAAAAAAAGAAAGCTACCAAATTAGTCTGTTGGAATTCCTTGAGCAAGCAGGGTTTCTGAACCAGCATTGCTGGCTACAGTAGCTACAAAACCTTCTAATTGAGGTTTATAGATATATCTTGTAAATTTTGCTTTGGAGAAGTATTTAACCAGATAGGAAAAAAAAAAAGAATATATTTCACTCCTTTCTTGCCTCTTCCCCTTTCCGTGTCTTGTAGACTTTTTTAAAGATAGAAATTCTAGGCAGAATGGTAGTATTTTGATAAGTAGTTACACATAAAGCCAGAGTAGCCCTTTACCTTCTCCGTCTCCTCCTCAATGCCCCCTTCCTGACCTGTGTCCAGCTAAGGGGAGTTTACGGTTAGGTGTGGGTGGGGCATACTGGCCACTCCCCTCCTCTAGCAACCCCCGAAGGGTGAATCTAGCTCCAAGAGTATCAGATTTGAGAGAGTACGTGTAAAGCTTCCATAAACAGCACTGCCAAAGCTTTGGGGTCATCCCAAGGCTACCCAGACTCCCTACCTAGCCTGAGTTCTAATTGCCAATAGTCCCCACAGTGCCAAACTTGGGAGAGTTTTACAGTGTTTTAGGAATAAAGCTGATGCCAGCCCCAGGCCCCATGAACCTTCGCTCTGCTGCTGCTTCCCTAGCGATTTGTACTCTTCAGGTGGGATAGGGTGGGAGGACAGGGACAGGGGTGTTAAAGAACTCACTGCATTTGCAGTTGTTTAATCATAAAAATAAATTATACAGACCTAGAACAATCCAAAGCTAGTTCCCAAGATCTATATTTCTAAAATGTGACCAGCTTGCCCAAGCCACTCTGAATCACTGTTCTACCACATGGCCATATGCACTCATTCCTGGTGGCCGGTATTCCTGGTATACTCTGTTCCTTGCTGTGGCTGGAAGAGACTGGCCTCTTGATTCTGGTATATGTCAAAAACATGACCAAGAGAAGGTTCTAGTATAGAGCTTCCACAGGCTTGGTAACTTAAGCACAGCTTCTGTCGTGTAGATGTAATGATTTGAACATTTTGTAGAGATGCAGAAGCTGCAGAGTGCTAGCTAGCATAGATGTTTTCATCCTCTCAGGAGGCTCCAGGGAACTGGCTGCACTGTTGGCTGGAACATCTGAAAATGCATGAAAGAGTCACAAAAGGAGTGACCTCTTTTTCATCTGCCAGGTGTACTTTGATTTTCCTGTTTGTTTCTTCTCATTGTCCTCCTCTTCCTGATTTCAGAGATTTTTTTTTAATTCCTTTGACCCAGGATTACACAGATCTCCCTGGAATAGTCACCCAAAATAGCCTGTGTTTGTTACACCGGCACTCCTGATTCAGCTCTGGAAAAGATGCCAGTCAGATACTGGGGTGGGGGTAGGGGGTGAACTATAAACTGAACTATGAACTAACTGCCTCTGGTTACATCATTTTCATCTAGGACTTTGGGCTAGTTGGAACAGAGAAATCTAGTGGCCCTCAACACAAGAGAACATGTATGCTAAAAATATTTTTCCATGTACATGATTTTATTGTCAGAGGAGTTGGGGAACCATACTTCATGGTGTGAAATAACCAAGCTAAATGTCATATAGGAGATGAGAAAACACATATAGAACCCTAATACTGAGTCTGTGAGCTTCTTGTTTTCTAAATCAACTTGATTACAGACAAGTCTGGGTAACCCCTCCTGACATTTCAATGGGCTCCTAATTATCACTTGGAATTACAGTTTGTAAGTCAGAAGCACTGAGCTCTTACCTGTAAGGCTGGCTTGTGATAGAAGCAGTATTGGAATGTTACGATTTAATATGACCAACAGTCTCCCATTGACAGCAGAAGGCCAGCAGGCATATTGCAGCATACTGCAAGGTCTCCCTCCTTTTCGGTAAGAAACAAGGACTTTGCCATGCTGGGCAGTTCTCAGCTGGGCTACCACAACCTTCAGTTGTTTCTCTGCAGTTTTCTTTGCTTTCCAAATTAAACCAAAATGTTTTTTCCTTGTCACTGACACATACCAAAAAAAGAAAAGAAAAAAGAAAGAAAATAATATAAAAGGGAAAGTAGAAAAGTATATACTTGATTTTAATTCCCTTTTGACATTTTAACTATTTTTAATGTATAATAGGTCACCCGTTAATGTTAACACACATTTATTATTTTTCCTCTCTTCACCTGTGAAATAATTTGTAGTCTAGAACTCATACATCCTGAAATTCATAATTCATATCCTATGTCATCCTGTCTTTCATACACACACACAAAGACACCACACACACACATACACATGGTTAAGTCTGGCAACTTATAAGGCTTGGTTATATTTCCCTAGCCATTATCCTCTGCCTTGTCAGCTTGGGGAGGGGGATTCCAGGGGGTAGAGCAGCTGTAAACCAGTAACCCAAAACTACGGGTGAAACACAGAATAGATTAAATCTGGGGTCCAGTCACTAATTTAAAACTGCATCCAATATTTTGAGGAATATACTACCTATATAATAAAAAATGAAACTAAGGCTAAAAAATAGCATCCCTTAAACTAGGCTGTAGATTGCAAAAGGGCAAGGACAGTTGGCACAGTGGGGTCCACAGGTACGTCACTAAATGTCCTCTAATACATAAGCATTTGCAGAGTCTTAGTAAACGTTTCCGCTTTGTTATTTGTTCGATTTACCACTGCTGAGCTGTTAAGCCAAGTGTCATGATCATGCTATACATTTGGTATTAACTACACATCACATGTACAATCTGAGTAAGGTCATTGAGACGCACATGTGCTGCTAATCTTGACAAATCATCACAGGCACGTTTGTGGTTCAGAATTTCACCAAGAAGCAAGCATGGAGCAAAAGAATAGATCATATTCAGGGGTGTATTTTCATTTAGTCTAGAAATCTTGTATTGTTTAACCACAGAATCTTACATATTTGCCACATCTAAATGCATTTTGAAAACTTTCAAAGACCAGCATCCTTCTTCTTTGCACAAGCAGATTCTTTAATGGTTCTAGTGGCAGCATGGGGCTAGCAGGTTTTGAGGAAGGACAGAAATCTACCGGATCCTCACAGTGGTACCCATGAGGAACTGTATCAGCCATACACATTATCACGACATTCCAGACAATCCAGATGTTTAAATGGGAGAAGTTGCTTCCTTTCAGATCATTTCATTAGCCCATTCATTATTTGAAGTGTGTTCACCCAGAAGCAAAGGGAGAAGCCTTGATCCAGGACTGGGGTGATGGTGCAGGGAAACTGAAAGTGGCTTATCTCAAGCCTGGGGTTCCAGATGCAGCTCTGGACAGTAACTTCTGGCTCCTGTACAAAGCATGGTAGAGACAGGAGGTGCTGTTCTTGAAGACATTTACCGCCTCGCCGGGTGGTGGTGCACGCCTTTAATCCTAGCACCTGGGAGGCAGAGGCAGGCAGATTTCTGAGTTCGAAGCCAATCTGGTCTGCAGAGTGAGTTCCAGGACAGCCAGAGCTACACAGAGAAACCCTGTCTCGAAAAACCAAAAAAAAAAAAAAAAAAAAAAAGGAAGCCTCATTTTCAACAGTGAAAAAATCCTCCTTTTCCCCAGTAGAATCTGGTAGGTGTGGTCTCACCCAGCCCTGCTCTCTGCATGGTGCCAGCTTCTTCTCTTCCTGCTCAGCCCCTGGGTGTGGCTTTTCTTAGAACATTTGCATTTTCAAAGGAATATCCCTTTTTATACTTTTGAAAGATACCTACGGAGATGAAATGGTTTGAACATGCTGGTAATTTTCCGGATGTCAGCTGTCAACAAGGAAAACAGTGACTGCCTGGTTGATAACAGTCAGTTTCACAGAAATAAACTGTGCAACAATTTAGCTTTTTTTTTTTTAATGTAATACAAAGTCACACTGCTCTCATAATTTTTAATTAGCCTGACAGAAATCATGTATTAGACATCTTTAAATTGGGAAGATAATGTCCTGTGTAAATTTTAAATTTGCCTCAACCTATGTAAGGACAAATAGAGACAGCTTAGAACAATGCAGTTCTGTCCCATGGGGAGAGTCGAAACGTGGAGCAGTGACAGTGCTCTTACAGGCACAGAAGCTGCATTCAGTAGTCTCTGTGTAATTTTCATCCGGATCCTTTTACCTTAAAACACAAAGTTGGGAGGATGCCATGACTTCATTTCAGAGCAGTAGAGGGCTCCTAAGTTCGACTATTTGGGACTATCTTGCCTACATTCTCCCTAAGGGAGGAATGCAAAGTTGAGATGTAGAGCACTTAGGGACTAGGATGAGGGGGCAGGATCACCCCAGTGGAGGGACAATGGAACCTGCTTTAATGGATAAATTCTGATAATTCACATTTCTGATCACTAGCGTTTACATGTTTATTGTCTGGTTGTCTTCAATGCTGTCCCTCTCCGGGTTCCTTGGCTGTGAGGCTTACCTCTGTTTCTGTGTGAACATCTTTTTTGACAATGGATTGTCTAAGACAGAATACTGTGATAATGCGTGGCATCACGTTTAGCATCTGTACTGCCGTCTCACAGAAGGTTGGGAGAGGGTGTGGCTGAGGCCGAGGGACAGTGGGTATGCATGGCCTCAGCAGTGGTCTGGTAGGAGCCAGGCTTCCTGTCCTCCAAAGAGAGAAGATAGGAAGGGATAGTAACCTTGTACCATGTGGGGTTTTGGTTTGTTTGGTTTTTTTTCTATTTTTGGTCCTAAGAGATTATAAATTGTAATGCCCCAAGAGCGAACCCAGGACTAAGAGTGTTTATCATCTGTCTCCTGACCACATGAATGGCAAATTTGTCATTTGGAAAGCTAGCATATTTCAGGAGTACAATTAATTAGCTTCAAAGGCAAGCAAACACTTAATGTCAGATTTTTTTAACAACAAAAATGCTCTCTTAGCATTACACATTCCAAGTTGTAAACATGTGATTTATGTTTTATACTTTGAACAAGAATAGCAAAATCTATTTTCTGTATGAGAGGGGAAAGAACCTAAATATCAGCTGTGGGGTTTTTAACCAAAGAAGCAATGGCTTGTAACTTCTGCCAGCCCCATCTTCCCTAAGCTGTCTGAGCACCATTGGGTTACACTCCTCTGCCTTCTCAGGATAAACTGACAAGAAACAGCACCTCACTGTGATATGGAATCAGCACTTGCAAAAGAAACCTCACCAGTTCCTGATATGATCAAGACCATGGGCAGGGCATAATCCATAAAGGAAGAAGAGGAAGGGAAGGAGGGAAGGGACCGCTGTCATAGCTGAGTTTCTGTGAGTGATAGCATTGCTCAGAGGCTCTGCGTCACTGGCCGTGCTGGCTTTGTGTAAGTTGTTTTTTATATCTACTTGACATCACGACATTCTTTCCCTTGACAGCGGGTCTTTCCTACATAAAACATCAGAACGGGTTGTGTATCAGAAGATGCCAAGATCCATAATGTATCAGCCATGTTTAAAAACTGTTGTCATATTTAATGATGAACTCACAGGTCAACCAGGCTTTCTGACGTCAGTCCCCAAAACCCATCTGTGTATCAGAATCTTGTTGAAACCTCTGCACTTGGAGCTACATAGAGCGTTTCATTTCTACTGTCTACTCCAGGAGCTGCAGCACTGCAGGGGGTTTGGGT